CACTCTTTCCAGGACAGCCACATCCTGAAACTGGCAGCCCACTTGCTACCTGTGTTCTCCCCCCAGTACTTGGGTCTGGAAATGTCACCCTTCTGTGACACTATTTTGTCCATGTGCCAGTTTCCCCTGAAGCAGGATGTGCACTCTGTTGCGTGGCAGCTGAAATCATCTATTAAACCAGTAAGTGGTGGCCTGCGGCCAGCCTGAGAAGCACAGGACAGCACTGTCTAGTCCAGCCCTGTCCACAGCCAGTACTGCTCCCCACATATGCTCAAGCGGAGACTCTCTCCCATCTAAAACACAGAGCGGGTATAAGAGAGATGGCAAGTCTCTCTTGGGCCATCACATTTATTAACTTCCTGCAGGAGCTTGACTCGACTTTACTCTGTCCTGGCTCAGAGGAAAGGGACTTGGGAATAAAAATGTGAACAGAATGCAGTATTGTCCCTGAATCAGGCAAATTGCATAAAATAATGATACAAACCACTCTTTAAATGTAACATTATCACGTAGATACGGTTTGTTGAAATGCAGGTGTGCTGCCTGGAGCTCTGGGCATGGAGAGTGCTGGGGAGGGCATCCACCTCCTCCGCATCCGCCTCTGGTAGGATGGTCCACTTTCACCACCACTGGACCCTGGGAGTGGTCAGAGCTTGGCCCTTCTCCCTGAATTCCTTCCATAGCAGCACCAAGGTGCACTGGGTGCCAGCATCCCTCCCTGGGCAGGGAAGGCTGGTGCTGTGCCTGCAGGGAGCAAGGGACCACCTGGGTGGGCCAGGCTTCAGTGGGGCTTCTGGGGAGAAAACGCAGGGCTAGGAGCTCACACTCATTAGGTCAGTGCAATAGAAAACAGGAAACAGGGCTGGAGACACGGTCGCAGTGGAGTGTTTGTCCAGAATGTGCAAGGCCCTAGGTGTGACCCCAGTGTGAGCACTGAAAAAGGAAAACCGTGAAAAATAAGAGCAGAAAATAGCAAGTGTGGGGAGCTTGTAAAGAAAGTGGAACCCTTGGCACTGTTGGAGAAGCTAGAACTACCTTATGATGTGGAATCCCACCTCCAGGTACAGACCCACCAGAATAAACCAGGGTCTGGAAAGATTGCATGTGTATTTGTGCTCTTAGAGGCATTCCGCACATGGCTGAAATACAGAAGCAGCCCATGAGTTCCCTGACAGAGGAGTTAATAGTCAACTGTGGGGTGTGTGTGTGTGTGTGTGTGTGTGAAATGAAACATTATTACGGTTACACATGAAGAAATCTGCAACATGTTATGATGAGGATGATTGTTGCAGAAATGACACTGAGTCAAGTAAGTTGACAGAAAAGACGAGTATCAGAGGATGCACCTGGGTAAGTCACCTGGAGTGGGCAGGATGAGAGGGACAGAAAGCTGAAGGGTGTCGCCAGCCACAGGGTAGAGCAAGCAGGAAGTTATTATTTAACAGAGCGACGGTGTATGATGAAATGTTTAGGAGATTATCATTGTTTTCAACACTATTGATGTATTTAATATCACCGACTCTGTGCTTAAAAACAGCATTGTAAATTTTAAAATTTTTTTTTAGTTGTAGATGGACACAATACCTTTATTTATTTATTTTATGGGGTACGGAGACTTGAACCCAGTGCCTCACACATGCTAGGCAAGCACTCTGCCACTGAGCTACAGCCCCAGCCCCCAGGATAGTTGATTTTTTGTTAAGTGTATTTCACCCCATTAAAAAAAAATGTCAGGGGGCTGGATTTATGGCTCAGTGATAGAGTGCTCGCCTAGCATGCATGAGGCACTGGGTTTGATCTTCAGCACCACATAAAAATAAAATAAAGAGGAATAAATGAAGGTAAAATAAGATGTTTTTAAAAAAAATGTCAGGATTATAAATGCAGGGTGCAATTGCTTAAGTGGAAACAGAGACATTTTAACAACCTCAAGCTGGAGGGAAATGCTGAGTCAGAGCTGGTGCTCTTGAGGTCTCAGCTCATGCTGTGGGGCTGGGAGATTGTGGATCCCTCAAGCACAGAGGAGGGTGGGACCCGGGAGAGATGAGGGCCTTGGCCAATAGGGCTCCTCGTAAACAGGAGGCTGTGCAGAGACCAGGAGCCCAAACTTTGTTTATGTGGTGCTGAAGATCAAACCCAGTGCCTCATGCATGCTAGGCGAGCACTCTACCACTGAGCCATAAATACAGCCCCCTGACAATAGGGAGTAAGCTAAGGCTAGCAGCAGAGGAGAACGTGGGTTCTGTATTCCAGCCAGCCGATGGCTTCAGAGGAGGCTGGCCAGGGAGGCTAGAGGAGGAGTGGAGGATGGTCAGGGCTCCCCGGGGGTGGGGGGGATCCTAAACTTTGCACCCTGAGTCGATAAGGGTTAGGGTCAGGAATGGAGAGGCTGAGCATCAGAACCACATTAACAACAAGGAGCATTGGCACAAAGATTGTTTACCCTGAAAGAGAGACCATGAGAAACAGGAATTCAAGTTAAATAATCAGATGCCTGGGAGGAGCTTCCGGCAGGGCTATTACCATCCACCCCACTACTGGCCCACTCCTAAGGGAAGTTTGTTTTTAAGAACAATGTTATAGACCTCATTAGCCTCCCAGTGTCAGAAAACAAGCAATTTTAGGCCTGGCCCTGTGGTGTAAGCCGTAATTACAGCTTGGGAGGCTGAAATGGGAGGATTGGGAGTTCAAAGCGAGCCTTATCAATTTAGTGAGGCCCTAAGCAACTCAGCAAGACCTTGTCTCCAAATAAAATATTTTTAAAAAGCTGGGGATGTGGCTCAGTGGTTAAGCACCCCTGGGATCAAGCCCTGGTGCCAAAAAAAGAAAAAGAAAAGAAAGAAAACACTTTGAGCTTTGAGCTTAACAGCTCTAAAACAATAAGTGAGCTCCCCTATCTCACCCCAACCTCCTAAAAACCACCATGACCCCACCAGTAATGATGACCTTTCCTTAGCCTGCCATCCGTATGGGGGTGTCTGGGTTCAAATGACCCTAAGTATCAACTTATCCATGCATGGGAGCCAATAGGTTGCTTTATTGCTTTTCAAGTTTTGTGAATTAGATATTCCAGCCTCTGCCAGAGCCATGGGGACAGAACAAGATGATAAGAAAGACACAGATGTCATGCTGGATGCATAATGGTCACCTTTGAATTCTCTCCTACCTTCTAAACTGCCCCCCCACCCCCCGCTTGCTAGTATTTGCTGAGTGTCATATGTGCCACTCACTCTATGAAGTCCCAAGGACACGGCAGTGAAAACAGGAGCCGGCCCCGACCCGAGGCAGCTCATCTTCTGACTCATTATCCTTGCTCCACTTATTTTGTCATCTCTTTTTCTGTCTTTAATTAAATATATCCAGCTTATGCCAGGACCTCTCTTTGGCATGTGGTGCCTCTTAGCTCATGTGACCCTCTGCACAGCCTTGTAAGAGGGCTGCAGCCCTGACTTCCAGTGTGAGATGAAATGCAGCAGGGAAAGTGACCCAGCTCGTCCCAGCCTCTTAGCAAGTGGCACAGCCTGCAACCTGGAACCAGGTCGGCTTCTCTAATTCCAGGGCCACGGCCCTTTCCCTTTCTTCTCAAACCTCACATCTTCAGTGTCCTGCTTGCACCTGAAGTGCCGATCCATTTCACCTCTCCACCTCACCTTTGGGCAGGCAACCTCAGGGTCCTTTACACCCCACTGACTACCAAAGCCCAGGCCAGGATTTGTGCTCATAGGCATGAACCTTGGAGGACAGGCCAGGGCCTGAGTCATCTGGCCCAGCCACTCCCTGCAAACTTATCTTGCTGCCACTCCTCAGGCCCAGCATGAGCCTGGCTGGCCGCCTCTGGCCATCTGGTGCCCCAGCTGCCTTCCTCCACACCCACTGTGTGCACTGGTGGGGGATCTACCTGCAACTTCACTCACCCCCACACATCAGCAGACCTGGCAGGGTCTGCCTGGACCCTGCAGGCCACTGTAGAGTTCTCTGCTATATTCCTGCAGGATCGGTGGGTGATATTTCTCCCAGGTAATAACTTGTAATGACACATTGGCCTGACTCTGTGCTCATTTCTCCCAGTTGACCTCAAGGCTGCCTGAGAGATGAGGTCCTGGCTCTGTTCCTCATCCTCACGCCTCAGGCCCCAGGGTTCCATGGCTACCAATAAACATAAACATGCACAGACAGACTGATTTGCCAGAAGCACGACCCACTGTCACCTTAAAACTCATCCATAGTGAAATTACATTTTGCTCAGATGACACTCCCACCGACCTGCCAGCCTTCTGGATGACATTAAAGACCTCACTGTACTCCTACAACTCTGCCTCCCCTTGGGGGAGCAGGTCCTTGGTTAATCCCCTACCTGCTCCCGTCTCAGTCTCCCCCCTCCCATAGATGCACTGATGGTGGTGGGAAATGTGCCTTCCAACTAATACCTTGGATTACCTCTTTCTCACTTCCAGAGTATGTGTTGCCCCAATTGTAACACACCAGTCCACACTGGCTGTCAGCAAATGGGTGCCACATTTTTAAAAATATTTATTTTTTATGTGATGCTGAGGGTGGAACCCAGTGCCTCCCACGTGCTAGGCATGCACTCTACCATTGTACAACCTCAGTCCCAGTGCCATATTTTTTAAACCTTCAGAATTGTTGCTGGGCTGTAGACCTATCATCATTATGTGCATCTATTCAGGTATCTCCTCTTCAGTGGTCTCATTTCTTTATCATTAGAGAATTCACAGAAGATAGAAAAACTAAAGTTGGTGGAAAGAAGATTAAGAAAA